GGGGGAGGGGGCGCCCTGCGGCGGGGGCCGCCGCAGAGCCAACCGTCGCGGGCGACGGGCTGGGCTGCCGCCGCCGCGCCGCGCCGCGGGTGGCGCCGAGTTCGAGGGTGCACGAGGCCGGCCGCGGGTTCTCGCCACGTCGCTGACTCAGCAGCCAGCAACACGCACACGCACGCGCGCACTCACACGCACTCTCTCTCTCACACACACACACACACACACACACACATACATACACACGCACGCACACGCAGGCACAGGCACGCACATGCACACCTTCAGGTTTGTATCCTTGAACTGTACGCCGTCAAAGGCCATCGCGTTCGAAGCTTCCTCCACACTGCGCAGCTCCAGGAACGCGTAGCCCTGGGGTGGGGGCGGCGGGGGGTGGCATGACGACGGCTGGACGAAGGCCCGTCGGCCCGCTGCAGGGCGCACGCGGCAGATTAGGCAAGCTCCGGGGCCGCCAGACGCGCAACGTGGCACAGCGGGCCGAGCGGCGGGCCTAGCGGGGCCGTTCAGCTTCCGGAGGGGGGCCGGCGGGCGGCAAGGGGTTGTTTAAAGAAGGGGAAGAAAGGGGGCGGCGCCGTGCCGCCGCCGCGCACCTTGTCCGGCGTGATCTTGCAGCTGGTGATGGCCGGGCCGGGGCCGGCGGCGGCCGCGGTCCTGGCGACGAGGCGCGAGAAGAACTGGTAGAGCTCCTCCTGATGAGATTTGGGAGGGGTGACGGGTGTCCGAGGCAGCGGGGGGGGGCCGGGAGGGGATCGGGGGATGTGCGTATGTGTGCGTGCGAGCGGGTTGGTGGGTGGGTCGGTGGGCAGGGGAGGGGTGGTGTGGGGGACAGGGCGGTGCGAGGCGGGGTTCGGGGTGAAGTAGGGGACAGCCCCCCGGCAGGCGGCGCTGCCAGGCATCGGCAGTGCGGGGGCGTTGGCGCCCCGCCGCGGTCCGAGGAGCAGTGAAGGGCCCGGGGCGCGCGAGGTGGGAGGTTCCCGGCCCGGGCCGGGCGGCCGCGGCTGGGGCCTGGCAGGGAAGCAGGGCGCGCCCTGGCACCTCGGTTGTGGCCGGCGGGACGCCGCCAACGTAGAGGCGCCGCGCGTTCTTCGCTAGCTGCGGGTTGGTGGACGCCATCTGCTGGTGCACGCCCGCCATCCAGGACCGCAGGTGCTGCAGCTTGCGCTCCAGGATCGCCGCCTGCTGCTCGCACTGCGCCACCCGCTCCTCGAGCGGCGCTGCCCGGGCGGTGCCGTCGCCCGCCGGGGCGGCTGCCGCGCCGGCAGCCTGGTCTGACATATCGGTGTCGTTTCGATCCACGTGATCAACACTATCCGGGGCCCCTGGGGGTGCAGGGCAGCGTATGCGACAGCTAAATGAGGGGTGTGTCCCACACCGACACGGGGTTGCCCGTCGTGCCGGGCGTTCGGCTCGTTTCTGGGCGCGTCGGGCCTTTTGTCGCAGCTTCCCTTAAGGGTCTCCGGTGGAAGTGCCAGTCACGGAGTCTGAGCGCTCCCCGCCTCGGGGCAGGCGCGCGCGCCCCCGCTCTCGAGGCCTTGCCTGCGTCGAGCGCTCCGTGTCCCATAGTTTCTGCTGGAATGATCCCTCGTTTGCCACCTGCTGCAACCGCGCGATCACGGGGTGATCTCGACGACTTGAACGAAAGAGTCCGCGCACGGCCTCGCCTCGGCAAAGACGTGATCGCGCGCACTCAGGGGGTGCAGTGCTAGCGGGCTGAAGGGGCACGCAACCCCAAGGTGCCGCCGCCAGAGTGGTCACCCGACGCGGCGACTCAACAGAAACGGCCGTGACCAGGCCGGCACCATCACGACACCCAGCAAACCTCGCATCCATCCCATCAGCGTTTATTATCACGCATTGTGTCGATCGCTGCGTGTGTGCGCTCGTCGGTTGTGCTTATTTGTGGACTGCGGCGTTTGACCCGGCACCAGCTGCACGCAGACGTTTTCACAGGAGTTGTTGAGCCCTCTCAGTGGGCGTGGCCGGCGTCCTCCTGGGAATTCTTTCTGGCGCAGGCGGTGACGCAACGCATGGCAGCGTCGCGCCCCTTCCCCCGACGACCGTCGTCAACAGGAGTGGCGGTCCGAGACGCCAGGCCTTGTGCACAGGGCCCGCATTACAATACAAAAGCGTTGAGGCGCAAGAGGATCTGTAGGGTCAAACCGCTCGGTAGTAGGGTTCGACGTCAAATGGAACGCTGGCGTCTTTCCAGGTGCGTCCTCATGGCACGCGTCAATTGTGGCGTCAAGCTTCAGTCAAGAATGGCGGCTCTCATGGCAGTGATGCTGTGGGCTGTTTTCAAAAGGTATGCAGTCTTGCCTACTCGAGGTTGGATGTCACAACGATCCAAACCCAGATTTAATGCAGAACCCCAATTTGGGGTCGCTTCGTAGTCAGACGCGCGAACGCTCCAAGTCAGCTCTTAAGCCGTGAGCGCCGACGCGGCTGATTCATGCCACCTCAGATCATGGCCCCCGAGAGCGACCGCGGCTGCGGCACCCCCAGCTCTGAAACAAGCAGCTGCAGGTCTGACACCGACCCCGCAGTGGAGCCGCCCGTCGCGCCACCCAGCCCGTCATCTCCGCCGTCAGGCGCGAGAAAAAACCTGCCCGGGCGCCCCGCAACCTCGGACAGGCCAAGGCGGCCGCCCGCTGCCAGCGCGGCGGTGGCGACGAGGGCCTCGCCGCCGGCCTCCTCGGACGCGCCGGCCGCTGCCGCCGCCGCGGGTGCACGCGCCGCCGCCGCGCAGAACGCGACCGCATCCGCGCCGCCGGGCGCGAGCGCCGCGGCCGCGGCCGGGGCCGCGCCGGCACGCGCGTTGGCCGACAGCCACACCGGCAGCGGGGCTCGACCGAGCTCCTGCGCGGTCGGCCACAGGCGCCGGCCGTCCCGCGTGAGGCCGACAGCTTCCGCCCAGCTCCTGGCATCGTGCAGGCCGCGCTGGTACCTATTGGGCAGCGGCGGCGGTGGCGGCGGCGGCGCGAATGGCGCAGGTGATGGGCATGGCGGCAGGGCGTTGGTGCATGGTGGCGTGCAGTGGGTGTATGCACCTCGACCGCGTCGTCCCGTAGGGAGCCTTGCAGGGCGCTACGCTGCTCTGCACGGGCCGGGCGCCCGCGGCGTATTTGGATTTTTTTCTCCTTATTGCTGGCGGCCGCCTGCCATGCGCAGCGCGGCTTGGCAGGGTCGCTGACTGGGCTACGCAGCCCCGGCCGCCTGGACGGCCGCTGTCAGACGGAGGCCGCCCTGCAGACCGCCCGAAAATACTCGAGGAAACAACCAAAAAGCAGTAATAGCCAAAGCAACATGCTGCAAGGTCCATTCAAGTGTATAAACGCAACACTCACATGTCGACGATGAATTCGTCCTGCGGCGGCGCCACCGCAAGGGCGCAGGTTTCTCGGCGGTTGTAGGGCCACTGCTGGTATGAGTCGGGGCTGATGGAGATCTCTGACTGCGCCGGTCGCGTGATGTACAGTGGGAGGCGGGCGATCTGGCGAGACGGCATGCTGCAGTGGGGCGAGATAGGTGCCATGGGGGGGGGGGCAGAGAGGGAGGTGGGTGTGTCAGGTGGGGTGAGTGCGGGGGGGTGGGTTCGGGTGCCTGGTGGGTGCAGGGAGGGTGGAGGATGGCGCGAACGGTCGGGCACTCGACGGGTCCGTTTGAGGTGGCAAATCACACAGCCGCCGTGGTAGAGGCGCCCCGCAACGGGCGTGCCTGCCAGTCGAGAGGGGCCTGGCAGCTAGGCGATGAGGCGGCCCCGCGCGACGTTGCTGGGCGCACACACGCGCGCACCTGCAGACGTTGACGGTGTGCGTCGTGTCGGGCGGCGGCGTGAGGACCGACAGCAGGCCGCCGTCGATGTGTGGCCGCTGCTTGAAGCGCACGGTGATGCTGCCGTCGCTGATCGAGGGCAGGTGGCTGCGGCGAGCACAAGGTGGGGC